CGTCATGGGTGATTTTGGTGCTACTGAACAAGGTCAGAAGGGGAAGCTGAAAGATCAACACTCGTCAAATTTTTATCCTCTGCCCTTCACTTTTTGTAAACGTCTTCCTAGAAATAGAAATAACGCACCTGTCCCAAGAGTTGAATGGTTCTGCACTGGACGCAGCGATTCTCCAGCTCGCTACCTGAACGCCGTTGTAATTTCAGTCACGATTACTCATCCGCATTCCAACTTTTTCTCTATGGAGGTTGCCGCTGTTTTTTCAGCAGCGTCAGCAGCCGCCTATTCACCATGGTATCTTAGATAGGAAATATTTTAGGAGCCATTATGTTCTGTCAAAGATCGAACATCGGTGACTAACAGCAATTTCAGCAGAGGACAACAAACAACGCCTTGTTGATACGTATTGGTCTTTAATCGATGCGACCAACCACCAAGGGCGGAGCTCCACGGCGGCAGCAAGGGCGGAGCCGAGTTGGTCTTTGCAAAACAGCTCTACGTTCACGCACAAACACCCGCGTCTGCAAAATGGTGAGTTCCATTTTTAGTTCTATTTTAATGGAATTCTTTTATGTGAAAACTGAGTTGGGTTGCAATTTTAAGAGGTTTGATTCAAGGGGAGCCCGAATGTGAAGAGTAATATGGAATCTATTTCTCTAAATTTGGCCTGTATCTATGTTTTCGTTCGAGAATCTGTGTGTTCAGTAGTCATCTGGAGTGGGTAGCTAAGGCGCAGTTTGCCGACGGGGGGGGGCATTTTGCACTTTCGTTGCTTCACTAGTTCTGGTTTACAAGTCTCACTCTGGTGAAACCTGTGAACTCTTGTGAAGCTGGAGCAAGCTCGTCAAGCCATCATGGTAAAACCTGTCAACTCGAGAAGAGGCTGTCTATATGGTAGCGAAAGTGCAAAATGCCCCCCCCCTCCCGAGCGCCAGGATAGGTGCCAACGACTGGATGGTTTCAGTAATGGCCGATGTGTTTGACCTGGCGTTTTCGCCCTGGAGTCGTCTGTTTATCTCTTATCTTAGTAGTTTGTCTGTTTCTCGTGCCCTCTTTCAGAGGAGTACTCTAGTTCCTGTCCAAAACAAAACATGAACTTATCGCTGTACAGTAATCACCATGATTGGATAGAGGCCTTAGGGTCGTGATGCCCGCAAACGATAGGGGACCATAGCTTGGAGCGCAGCCAGCAAGATTCCCACCAATTGCTAGCGACGCCCGGGATGCCACATTGCGTGGAAAAAGCGCCGCTAGCCTGCCTGCAATACGCGCCACGTCCACGCCTTATCTGGGTGGGGGGATCGCTGCCATTAGACCATGGCTCTGCCAAACGAATTTGGAAGAGCAGGTGTGAAGTAGCGAAATGAAGACTTTCTTACTCGCAAACCAGTGACCGAAAGACGTTGCGCCGGAGCACTATCCGCGATTTTCCATTTACTCCTTATCCAGATTCCTTGGGAAAGTAACACACCTCTTCCGCGTCATTGCTCGCTGCTGAGGCTCACGCACTTCACGGATTGTTAGCCATTAGGAGCAACTTGCCATGGGTCATTGCAAAGCCCAGAACCCCAAGTGAAACACTAATGAGTGCCCGTCTTCAGTGTAGATGTCCCAGACACTCTAAATACATTCTTGGGAAAATGTAACCTCGGCCTCTAAGGAACCCTCTTGGAAGCCTCAGGAACATTTTTCATAGGAGGCTGGTAGGACTCGTCTCCCTTGTATAGCTCGGTGATGCAATCTTCTCATCAAAACCACTGTGTTCAAAAAGGTTTTTTTGGTGGAGCGGAGTTGTGAAATACAGCATTAGTTGTCCAGGGCAATGCCGCAGTACATCCACCGATTGCGATCGATGGCAATTCGTCTCGTTTATGCGTCTCAGATGGCATACTGCACGAATTAGCCTGCTAGAATAAAATGTCCATCGTCTTGTTTTGCTGCTAGAATGAGTTCCTCAGCGTCGAGCACGAGTATCAAATTGCTCGGCCGGTTAATGGGAATCTACAGCCACCATTCGCGGAAATGACATGAGCGATGAAACATTAAACTTTGCCGTTCTTCTCCTTCTACTGCTCAGGATAACATGGGTGAAAGAGCGTTTCCAAAAAAGGCCGTCAATAGCACGGGAAGTAATGCGGCGGCACTTGTGGACTTGTTTACCAAGCGGACTCCATTTTCAAGTCACTAGTTCCGCTCGTACCTTCTAGATGTGGGCCCTTCATGAGGTATGAGGACGCATGGACTCCTGTGTAGTCGTATTGTCCTGTATATATGGTAAATCTGAGTCATTGGTAGATATTTTTTTGAAGCTGACTCCAGAAAGAGTCGTAAGGTATAATGATTTAAATGATTTGAACTGACTCCGAAAACAAGAGTGTCGTAAGTACAATGATTTAAATTGATTTGAACTTCCTGGGCTGATACATCAAAGGAATCACAATGGAGCGATCATTTTTGCACAAACACCACTCAGATGCGCCCGGAAAACGAAAAAACCAAAAGCCGTGCGTTATGCGAAGTTGAACGGCTGCCAGGTGAGCAACTAGAGCGCGACCAAATTCGGACCACTGCCCTTCCACTTGTGCTAAGAGGTGTCAGAGAGACAAGGCTTGGAACCAGGGCACATCATCGTTGGGGATTCCTCAACAGGGGTGTCGTATTTGGTCGCTGGGGAGGGGGTCGTGTCGCGTTTGGTCTGAGAAATTTTTTTTGATAGCTGATTTCTCTTGTTTTCCGGATACTTAAGGGGGAGAGGGAGGTCATATTTGCCTTTAAGAGAAGCTATTTATGCCCTAGTTGGTGGTGCCGATGAAGTTGTGTACAACTACTATATCTGATAGTGGAAACTAGTAGTTGGTTGCTGACGATCTCTCTCCTCCTCGCTCCCCGTTGATCGCTGACGACATCTCTCTCCGCTCGACAGCAAAATTTATTTATGAAGAAAAAGAAAATTCTCGGGAAAATTCGAAAAAGCTGGAGAAAAGAGTAGAAAGTTGGAAAAATCTAAGAAATTAGTAGGTAGGATGGGGAAGGGGAGGGTCGCATCAAACCAGAAGGGGAGGGTTGTATCAAGCTACCCTCTAGGGGGGGAGGGTTAGGGTCTTACGAACTCTACCAAAATCCCGAACCAAAGATGTTCTCTGCTCGGAACGACCCGGTTCCCCTCACATGCTGTATAATTGAATTTGAAAGTATTCCATTTGGTGTCTACATTGTCGCTACTTTTTCCATCGCTCCGATCGAGTTGCATGAGTCATTTACTGGCAGATGGCGGATCACCGCTGTCCGCATTCCGTTTTCTCCGTCAAGGTGACTGTTTGCCTTTGTCGGGGACGCTGTGGAGCCGGAAATGTGAGCTGCGGCGTTTCATTCGAAAATCAATGACCAGCATCAAGAACCGTGCTCGAACAGAAACGTTCTCCTTTAACTCCTTTTGTGGATTTCATTCACCTTTGCGAGCTCCTAGACAAAAG